CGCCGCAGCGGGGACCGGCCTCTCCGAGCAACTTCGGTGCCTGGAGGACGCCTGGCTCCCTCGCCCCGCCGGGCTTTGGGGGTCTCTTCTGCAGGGTGCGGAGAGGGACAGGGATCCCCCCTCCGCACAGCCATCCCCGGGGACCGGTTATGATCTCCAGGGACCCCCAGAGTCCAGTGCTCTGGAGGGATCTGCTCTAGTGCAGCGATCTCTGGGGGTCTCTTATAGCTCAGGGATCCACTACAGTGCAGGGGTCATCTCTAGGGATCCGCTATGCTGCAGCCATATCGGGGGGCGTCTATAGCTCGGTGATCTCTAGGGATCTGCTATAGCGTGGCCATCTCTTGGGATCCACTACAATGCAGTGGTCTCTAGGGATCTGCTATAGTGCAGTAGTCTCTAGGGCAGAGTGGGGCAAGATGCGGCTGGGAAAATTTGGAGAATGATATTGGTGTGCCCCGGGCTGCCTGTCCTGCAGCCCTCGCCGGCTTGCCAAAACTCAGTAAGCGCCCCCCCGCCTGAAAGACTTGCTCGCCCCTGCAGTCTAGGGGGTCTTCTATAGTTCAGTAATCTCTAGGGATCTGCCCTAGCGCAGCAATCTCTGGGGATCCACTGTCATGCAGCGATCAGCTGTGGCACAGTGCTCTCTAGGGAACTCCTGCAGCACAGTAATCTCTTGGGAGCCACTATAGCACAGTGGTCTCCGGGGGCTTTTTTTATAGTGTGGTGATTGCTTGGGATCCACCATAACACCCTGATCTCTAGGGCACTGCTGTAGTGCCGTAATCTCTAGGAATCTGCTATACCACAGTGATCTCTAGGGATCTTCTATAACTTAGTGATTTCTGGGTGTCTGCTACTGCATAGTGATATCTAGGGAATCTCCTGTAGCTCAGTGATCCCTGGAGATCAGCGATAGCACAGTGAACGGGAGGGATCCACTCCAGCACAGTGATCCCTGGGGGATCAACTATAGCACAGCGATCTCTAGAGATCCACTACAGTGCAGCGATATCTGGGGATCTGGTGTAGCACAGTAATCTCTAGGGATCTTCCATAGCTCAGCAACCTCTGGGGATCAGCTATGGCATAGTGATCCCCAGGGATCTTCTATAGCACAGCAAACTCCAGGGATCCACTGTAGCATGGTGATTTCCAAGGATCTGTGAGCCCTGAGCCCCCAGGGTGATGTGATTGGTGCAGGTTGGGGTTAGCTGAGCTCTTTCCTGGTAAAGTCCCCTCCTGCAGGGCCTGTGCTGCTCTGACCCCCGCACCAGCCCTAGTTTGGGGTCTCCGGCTGGCACCGGGCACCTGGCTTTGGACACCCGGTCAGGTATCGTTGCATTTAGTGGCAGCAAAATGCTGTGCCACCCAGCCGGGACCTGGCAGGGGTTGCCAGCAGGGGAGGGCCAGGCTCTGATCCATGTGGAACAATAGCCTGCGATGAGCCTTTGTGTCGGGAGCGATGACGCTCCAGTCCCTGCCAGAGCGGCACGGCGAGTGCTGGCATTGCACGGTCCTCTCCTGGCTGGGGAGGGGCCCTGTGTCACCTGCCATCCTGCAGATGGGGAGCGGGCAGGTGGCTTGTGTGTCACGCGCTGACGTGCATCAGGCCTTAGTCACTGGCTCCGGATACAGCCAGCGCCTCAGGGAAGGGCCCCGTTGAAGGCATGCATGGATTCCCAGCCCGGTATGTGTTGTCTCAGGGGCCTCGTTGCTTCAGGACTCCTCGCCCAGGCTGCCCCGAGCAGGGGGCTTGCCAAGTCCAGGGCAAGTTGGTCTTCAGCACTTTCTAGGATCCTGTAACCTCCGCCCACCTCACAGGTTCCCGAAGGGAGTGGGCCATGCAGGAAACCCAGTGACCCCTCAGTGGTGCATAAAGAGACCCACGAGACCCCATGCCCGGCTCAGTGGGTCTCCAGGAACCATTTATGGCCAGAAGTGCCCTCTGGGGAGATATGCTTGGTACAAGGCTCGAACAGGCGAGTGGGTAGAGGAGGTTTTATACCAGGCTTGCCTCTCCTCAACGTTGGGCCCAGGCAGGATCTGATGAAGTGTCTGGGATAAGGTTGAGCATCCTTGGGGTGGCTCTAATTTCTAGCTGGTGTCCTCAGCCTCCAAGGGCCATGTGAGGAGCTGGGAGTGCCTGGGGTGCTGAGGTATCCCACCCATCTTCCCATTCCCCAGGATGTGCCTCTAAGTCAGAGATTGTAGAGGTCATACAGTAGTGGGGAGGTGGAAGAAAAGTTATCCAGCTGGCAAGATCCCTGGTTTCAGGGCCCAAGGAAGCTACAAGGCCATCCCTTCAGCTGCTCTCCTGTGCCCAGTCAGTGCCTGGTATGCCATGCCATCATTTATGCCTGTCTTCTCTCCCCCAGCTCTAGTTGGCACATTGCACCCACTTTTCACTCCCTTCAGACCCCTGAAAATGACCCCGGGGTGGAGGGATGCGGTCCTCTCCTGGGATAAACAGTGTCCTAGAGCAGCTAGCCCTAAAGGGCGCTAAACATAGGGCAGTGGCAGCCCTTCCCCTTCCCATTGGATTTACTATTTGAGCTGGGAGATGTTTTCTTTTGCTGAGAGGTACATTTTGCTACACCCTCAGCAAAATAACCCCTCAACACCCGTCCCTAGACACCCGCCTGAATTTCAAGGCAATAGAAAGAACTTGCAGATTGGAGTCAAATCCAGCAAATAGATCAGCCCAAAGGGGGAAAAAAAGAAGGATCCCAGTGCTTTGTTTCCAAAGCCCCCTTTCAGCTTTGCATTTCAAGAGGGAGTTTTTCATTAGTCTTTGTTCCTGCACGGATAGGAAAGAGAGCCACTTCCACCACAGGGTTAATAACTCAGCATAGGACGCAAAGCCCATTTGGTCTCTGGCTGAGCAAAGCTTTTGGGGGTTGGCCGTGGAGGAGACATCCTGGTTTTGTTCTGTTTTGCTGCGAACCTTGAGAAGTCCTTTCGGTCTCACCCCCACTTCTTTGTTGCTGCTCTGTTTGGCCTCTTCAGCAAATGCTCCCCTGACCTTTCCACCTCTCCTGACAATCTTCCTCTTCTTTTCTTTCTTCCTCTTTCTTTTCTCTTCTTCCTTTTCCTCTTCTTTTCTTTCAGGGTGGGCATACTGCTCTGCAGGCAGTGGAAAGGATGGGTCTTTGCCTGTGCCCCATGGCAGCCCCTTTACGACTGGGTTTAGGGCTCGTCCCCGTCAGCCACGGAGCAAGTCTCTGGCACAGGCTGAGCTGAGGAAGTTTGCCACCTGCTGTCACAGAAGGCATGTGAACGGCCTCTTTCAGCGCTACGGCTTGATACCTCGGTTCAGCCTGAAGTGCCATAACCTTGGACTCACAGTATCATAGAAAATGAGGGTTGAAGGGAGCTCAGGAGGTTACATCTCATCCAATCCCTGCTCCAAGCAGGACCAGCCCCAACTACATCATCCCAGCCAGAGCTTTGTCCACCCACGTTTTAAAAACCTCTGAGGATGGAGATGCTACCACCTCCCTGAAGAGCCTGCTCCAGTGCCTTACTACCCCCCTGGCGAGAGAGTTTTTCTGCCAACCCACTGTCATGCTCCACCTTAAGAGCCAGCCCATTTCAATGCCTCCCCTTGCAAGAAAGACCTCTTTCTGCAACCTCCCTCTGGTCCCAGGATGGGCTGGTGGGTTGAGGCAGAGCCGTAGAGGCTGCCAAGCATTGAGCTAAAGGGGGATCTTCATTCCCTGCTAACAGTATAGGGCCTAGGGCATGCACCTGAATATTGCCGTTTAGCCAGCAGCAATGCAGGTCATTACAATAATCCATGAAGGGCTTGGGAAACGCCAAACAGAAGTCACTGCCTATGTAAAAGCTGTTAGTTATCCTCCGGTATTTGTATCGTGACAGCCACTCCTAGCCAGGGCCATGGGGCCAGGCGGCATGGTGCCAAATGAATGATGAATAACAAAATAGTCCTGCCAGGAGCTGCCAAGTGGCCTCGCCTCTCAGCTAACTGGCAGTCATGAATTCTCGAGAGGCCGCAGGTCAGCTCCAGGGCTTGAGGGACCCTTTGAGAGGCAGCCAGTTCTGGGGAGGAGAGAAACACCAGAGAGAAACGTCCCTTGCTACTTGCCTTTAAAATACCACCCGGAAGGCTTCCTAGCTTAGCAGCAGGGTGATCTCTCCCCAGGAGACGCGCGCTGCCATTAGAAGAGCAGCCAGTTCCACCTGAAAGATAATGAGCAACCAGTGCTAAAAAAAGAGCTGGAAACCCCCCCTGGCTGGTATTTTGGGCATCCCTGGGAGATGCCATTAGGAGAACGGGCTTGGCACGCACCCGAGCAGCGTGACACTGCACGTAATTACCACGCGATGGGCAGGGACTCTGACTGCAAAACCCGTGTGCTTGGATTGTGCTTCCTGGGCTCAAGCCACCTTCATGCCATTTCGCTTTAATTCCCAAAGCGTCACTCAAAGCATGAAAGAAATGCAAAAATCTGATACCTTTTATTGGACCACCTAGGAAATCACAAAAAATAAATACATAAAAAAAAGTGTTTCTGCAAACTTTTGGGCTCAAAGCGGATTTCCTAGTTGGTCTAATAAAAGGCATCATTTATGAACCCAGAATTCTAGATTTTTGCATTTCTTTTGGTCTCAAACCAACACGGCTACCAAGTACATCCCTGGCTCAATGTATTATACCCTTCTCACAGGGAAACCAAGGGGAGCCTTCCCTGGGAAGAGGAGCATCTTAAAAGGAGGGTGTCATGACAAAATTCCCCCGTGCTCCAGTATAACACCCACACTGTAAATGTGTTGGGGCAGG